CCAGGTCACTCCTGACCCACCAGCAACCCAGGTCACTCCTGACCCACCAGCAACCCAGGCCACTCCTGATCCACCAGCAACCCAGGCCACTCATGACCCACCAGCAACCCAGGTCACTCCTGACCCAACAACAACCCAGGCCACTCCTGACCCACCAGCAAACCAGGTCGCTCCTGACTGCCCAGCAATCCAGGTAACTCCTAACCCACCAGCAACCCTGATCACTCCTGACCCACCAGCAACCCTAACCACTTCTGACCCACCAGCAACCCAGGTCACTCGTGACCCAAAAGCCACCTTTGCCACTTCTGACCCACCAGCATCCCAGGTCACTCCTGATCCAACAGCAACCCAGGCCACTCCTGACCCACCAGCAACCCAGGTCACTCCTGGCCCACCAGCAACCCAGGCCACTCCTAACCCACCAGCAACCCAGGTCACTCCTGACCCATCAGCAACCCAGGTCACTCCTGACCCACCAGCAACCCAGGCCACTCCTGACCCACCAGCAACCCAGGCCACTCTTGACCCACCAGCAACCCAGGTCACTCCTGACCCAACAGCAACCCAGGCCACTCCTGACCCACCAGCAACCCAGGTCACTCCTGACCGGCCAGCAACCCAGGTCACTCCTGACCCACCAGCAACCCAGGTCACTCCTGGCCCAGCAGCAACCCAGGCCACTCCTGACCCACCAGCAATCCAGGTCACTCCTGACCCACCAGCAACCCAGGTCACTCCTGACCGGCCAGCAACCCATGTCACTCCTGACCCACCAGCAACCCAGGTCACTCCTGGCCCAGCAGCAACCCAGGCCACTCCTGACCCACCAGCAATCCAGGTCACTCCTGACCCACCAGCAACCCAGGTCACTCCTGACCCACCAGCAACACAGGCCACTCCTGACCCACCAGCAACCCAGGCCACTCATGACCCACCAGCAACCCAGGTCAATCCTGACCCAACAGCAACCCAGGCCACTCCTGACCCACCAGCAAACCAGGTCGCTCCTGACTGGCCAGCAATCCAGGTCACTCCTAACCCACCAGCAACCCTGATCACTCCTGACCCACCAGCAACCCTAAACACTTCTGACCCACCAGCAACCAGGTCACTCGTGACCCAAAAGCCACCTTGCCACTTCTGACCCACCCGGAACCCAGGTCACTCCTGACCCAACAGCAACCCAGGCCACTCCTGACCCACCAGCAACCCCGGTCACTCCTGGCCCAGCAGCAACCCAGGCACTCCTGACCCACCAGCATCCAGGTCACTCCTGACCCACCAGCAACCCAGGTCACTCCTGACCCACCAGCAACACAGGCCACTCCTGACCCACCAGCAACCCAGGCCACTCATGACCCACCAGCAACCCAGGTCAATCCTGACCCAACAGCAACCCAGGCCACTCCTGACCCACCAGCAAACCAGGTCGCTCCTGACTGGCCAGCAATCCAGGTCACTCCTAACCCACCAGCAACCCTGATCACTCCTGACCCACCAGCAACCCTAACCACTTCTGACCCACCAGCAACCCAGGTCACTCGTGACCCAAAAGCCACCTTTGCCACTTCTGACCCACCAGGAACCCAGGTCACTCCTGACCCAACAGCAACCCAGGCCACTCCTGACCCACCAGCAACCCAGGTCACTCCTGACCGGCCAGCAACCCAGGTCACTCCTGACCCACCAGCAACCCAGGTCACTCCTGGCCCACCAGCAACCCAGGCCACTCATAACCCACCAGCAACCCAGGTCACTCCTGACCCACAAGCAACCCAGGCCACTCCTGACCCACCAGCATCCCAGGCAACTTCTGACCCACCAGCAACCCAGGTCACTCCTGATCCACTAGCAACCCAGGTCACTTCTGACCCACCAGCAACCCAGGTCACTCGTGACCCACCAGCAACCCTAGTCACTTCTGACCCACCAGCAATCCAGGCCACTCCTTACCCACCGCCAACCCAGGTCACTCCTGACCCACCAGCAACCCAGGCCACTCCTGATCCACCAGCACCCCAGGCCACTCCTGACCCACCAGCAACCCTGGTAACTCCTGACACACCAGCATTCCGGGTCACTCCTGACCCACCTGCAACCCTGGCCACTCCTGACCCACCATTAACCCAGGTCACTCCTGACACACCAACAACCCAGGCCACTCCTGACCCACCAGTAAACTAGGTCACTCGTGATCCACAACCAAATTAGATCACTCATGACCCACCAGCAACCTAGGCCACTCCTGTCCCACCTACAAGCCAAGCCACTCCTAACCCACCGGCAACCTAGGTCACTCCTGACCCACCAGCAACCCAAGCCACTCCTGACCCACCAGCAACCCAGGTCACTCCTAACCCACCGGCAACCCAAGCCACTCCTAGCCCTCAAGCAACCTAGGCCACTCCTGACCCATCAGCAACTTAGGTCACTTTTGACCCACCAGTAACCCAGGTCACTCCTAACCAACCAGCAACCCTGGTCACTACTGACCCACCAGCAACTCATACCAATCCTGACTCACCAGTAACCCAGGTCACTCGTGATCCACCAGCAACCCTAGTCACTCCTGACCCACCGGCAACCCAGGTCACTCCTGACCCAACAGCAACTCAGGCCAATCCTGACCCACCAGCAACCCAGGCCACTCCTGACCCACCAGCAACCCAGGTCACTCCTGACCCACCCGCAACCCAGGCCACTTCTGACCAATCAGCAACCCAGGTCACTCCTGACGCACCAGCAACTCAGGCTACTCCTGACCCACCAGCAACCCAGGTCACTCCTGACCCACCAGCAACCCAGGACACTCCTGACTCACCAGCAATCCAGGTCACTCCTAACCCACCAACAACCCTAGTCACTCCTCACCCACCAGCAACTTAGGCCACTCCTCACCCACCAGCAACCCCGGTCACTCCTAACCCACCAGCAACCCTGGTCACTTCTGACCCACCAGCAACCCTAATCACTTCTGACCCACCAGCAGCCCATGTCACTCTTGACCCACCAACAACCCTAGTCACTTCTGATCCACCAGCAACCCAGGCCACTCCTTACCCACCGGCAACTCAGGTCACTCCTGGCCCATCAGCAACCCAGGCCACTCCTGACCCACCAGCAACCCAGGTCACTCCTGACCCAACAGCACGAGAGATGCCAAGCCAATGATGATCCTTTTCAAATCACTTGTTCTCTCTAGGCTGGAATACTGCTGTACATTAACATCTCCATACAAAGCAGGTGAAATTGCAGATCTAGAGAGTGTACAGAGATCCTTTACTGCACGTATAAGTTCTGTCAAGCACCTTAACTACTGGTAACGCTTGGAAGCACTTGACTTGTACTCGTTGGAACGCAAGAGGGAGAGATATATCATAATCTACACTTGGAAAATCTTGGAAGGAATGGTCCCAAATCTGCACACAGAAATCACTCCCTACGAAAGTAAAAGACTGGGCAGGCGATGCAAAATACCCCCAATTAAAAGTAGGGGCGCCATTGGTACACTAAGAGAAAACATCATAAGTGTCCGGGGCCCAAGACTGTTCAATAGCCTTCCATCAAGCATTAGGGGAATTACCAATAAACCCCTGGCTGCCTTCAAGAGAGAGCTGGACAGATACATAAAGTCAGTGCCGGATCAACCGGGCTGTGGCTCGTACGTTGGACTGCGTGCGACCAGCAGTAACAGCCTGGTTGACCAGGCCCTGATCCACCGGGAGGCCTGGTCATGGACCGGGCCGCGGGGGCGTTGATCCCCGGAATAACCTCCAGGTAAACTTCAGGTAAACTCCAGCAACCCAGGCCAACTCCTGACCCACCAGCAACCCAGGTCACTCGTGACCCACCAGCAGCCCTAGTCACTTCTGACCCACCAGCAACCCAGACCACTCCTTACCTACTGGCAACCCAGGTCACTCCTGACCCACCAGCAACCCAGGCCACTCCTGACCCATCAGCAACCCAGGCCACTCCTGACCCACCAGCAACCCTGGTAACTCCTGACACACCAGCATTCCGGGCCACTCCTGACTCACCTGCACCCCTGACCACTCCTGACCCACCATCAACCCAGGTCACTCCTGACCCACCATCAACCCAGGTCACTCCTGACACACCAACAACCCAGGCCACTCCTGACCCACCAGCAAACTAGGTCACTCGTGATCTACAACCAAATTAGATCACTCATGACCCACCAGCAATCTAGGCCACTCCTGTCCCACCTACAACCCAAGCCACTCCTAACCCACCAGCAACCTAGGTCACTCCTGACCCACCAGCAACCCAATCCACTCCTGACCCACCAGCAACCCAGGCCACTCCTAACCCACCGGCAACCCAGGCCACTCCTAACCCTCAAGCAACCAAGGCCACTCCTGACCCATCAGCAACCTAGGTCACTTCTGACCCACCCGCAACCCTGGCCACTTCTGACCCACCAGCAACCCAAGTCACTCCTGACCCACCAGCAATCCAGGCCACTCCTGACCCACCAGCAACCCAGGTCACTCGTGATCCACCAGCAACCCTAGTCACTTCTGACCCACCATCAACCCAGGCTATTCCTGAACCAGCAGCAACCCAAGTCACTCCTGACCCAACAGCAACCCAGGCCACTCCTGACCCACCAGCAACCCAGGTCACTCCTGACCCACCAGCAACTCAGGTCACTCCTGACCCACCTACAACCCAGGTAACTCTTGACCCACCATCAACCCAGGTCACTCGTGACCCACCAGCAACCCAGGCAACTCCTGACCCACCAGCAACCCTGGCCACTCCTGACCCACCAGCAACCCTGGCCACTCCTAACCCACCTGCAACCCAGGTCACTTCTGACCCACCATCAACCCAGGTCACTCGTGACCCACCAGCAACCCTGGCCACTCCTGACCCACCAGCAACTCTGGCCACTCCTGACCCACCAGCAACCCAGGTTACTCCTGACCCACCAGCAACCCAGGTCACTCGTGATCCACCAGCAACCCAGGTCACTTCTGACCCACAGCAACCCAGGCCACTCCTGACCCACCAGCAATCCAGGCCACTCCTGACCCACCAGCAACCCAGGTCACTCCTGACCCACCAGCAATCCAGGCCACTCCTGACCCACCAGCAACCCAGGCCACTCCTGACCCACCAGCAACCCAGGTCACTCCTGACCCACCAGCAATCCAGGCCACTCCTGACCCACCAGCAACCCAGGCCACTCCTGACCCACCAGCAACCCAGGTCACTCGTGACCCACCAGCAACCCTGGCCACTCCTGACCCACCAGCAACCCTGGCCACTCCTGACCCACCACCTCCACATGCACTGCAAGTACCCTTGAAGATCAAGACTTTCATGCCTCTGTAGAACAAAATGAGTAAGACCTCACCCGCGCATCTGAAGTAACCTACAGTTGTTCACTCTGCACTCAAACATGAACAACATATTCGCCAAAAAACTCCATCCTCGACTCTGCAATGGAACAGTCAAATGCACCTCCGTCGCTCCATACACCTTCACACACCATAGGTCCAAGATTCCATGAACCAGATCACTGAAGACTTCGAAAAGCACAGATCAACACCTACCTGAAGAAAATTTCAAAACGAAGGTCATATCAAATTAGAATTTCTGTACCTACCAGTTTCCCTGAGTCTGGATGTTGTCCTACCATCACCAAGCACTATGATCACATCTGTCAGACACAGTAACATCTTGAGACCGTGATACAGGGGATTCTTCCACACTTGCCTGACCTACAAGCATGACTTACCTACACAAGTAGATTTGCGCAATGTATAAGCCACGTTAATATACGTATAAGCCACGTTAATATACGTATAAGCCACGTTAATATACGTATAAGCCACGTTAATATACGTATAAGCCACGTTAATATACGTATAAGCCACGTTAATATACGTATAAGCAACGTTAATATACGTATAAGCCACGTTAATATACGTATAAGCCACGTTAATATACGTATAAGCCACGTTAATATACGTTAAAGCCACGTTAATATACGTATAAGCCACGTTAATATACGTATAAGCCACGTTAATATACGTATAAGCCACGTTAATATACGTATAAGCACGTTAATATACGTATAAGCACGTTAATTACGTATAAGCCACGTTAATATACGTATAAGCCACGTTAATATACGTATAAGCCACTTTAATATACTTCCACGTTTTATAACCCAAAATTATATACGTAAACCATCGTTATATAGCGGAGCCACTTTAATACTCATTCCCTTCAATTTACGTTTCCTTAAATTAGAAGCACTTAAAACGTATAAGCCACTTCTAGAAGCCAACGTTAATATCGATAAAGCCAAGTTAATATTTTTATAACCACGTTTAAAAAAAAGAAAATACTTCATTTTAACAAGATTGGGTATATGAAAACATCGACTTTGGCGGGAAAAGATATATTGCATCCTCTTTACCGTTGTCTTTATTGCTCACTTGTAGGCTTTTTCCATAGTTTCCTGGAGGTTCTGTCGGTTTTAAAAAAAAAAGTTACCATTTATTTGCTCGTCACCTTGGGTCGTTGTTCTAGGATCTCTTTACCTGCTTACTCTCACTTTCTTCTCTCTTTACCTTCTTCTGTTCTCCTTCTCTCTCTCTCTCTCTCTCTCTCTCTCTCTCTCTCTCTTTTCACTCTCTCTCTCTCTCTCTCTCTCTCTCTCTCCTCCCCCTCCTCTCTCTCTCTCTCTCTCTCTCTCTCTCTCTCTCTCTCTCTCTCTCTCTCTCTCTCTCTCTCTCTCCTCTCTCTTCTCTCTCTCTCTTCTCTTCTCTCTCTCTCTCTCTCTCTCTCTCTCTCTCTCTCTCTCTCTCTCTTCTTCTTCTTTTTACTCAGTCCTCATTAGTCCTCTCTTTCTTCACCTCACTCCTTACATCTCTCCACGATCTCTCTCTCTCTCACTCTCTCATCTCCCTTCTCCTCCACTCTCCACTCTCTTCACCATCACTCTCTCTCTCTCTCTCTCTCCCATCCTAGACGTCTCTCTCCTCTCTCTCCATCTTTCTTCTCATCTCTCTCTCATCTCTCTCTCTCTCTCTCTCTCTCTCTTCCTCTCACTCTTTCTCATCTCTCTCGCTCTCTGATCTCCCACTATCACTTACCGTAGTCTCACTCTATGCAATCTCTCCTTTCCCTCTCTTCTCATTCTTTTTTTTACACAGGTGTGACAAGTTAAGGATCCCTAGCTTTATTTGACACTATTTACAGTTAAGGATTCCTAACTTTAATGGACAGCTAAGAGCTGTTACCTACATCAGCTCATTTGAAATCATTTTTATTGTTATGAGACATACAAGTAGGACAGGATGAAGTGGAGCCATCTGTGGGCCAGCATTTTCATTTGATCAACTGACTTTATCTCGTTGACATCATTATCCTGTACGAATATGTTCCATACTCGAGTCATCCTGGGTATATAGGATCTCAGATGGAGTGATGTTCTGGAGAAGGGTACAGCCAGAGTGAAGTTGCTGCTTTCTGCCCGTCTTGTGGCATAAAAGCTTGTTTCACGCTGTCCTCGAGTGGATCCAAGTGTGGTATTTTGACATATTGGCCTTGTACATAACAGTAAGGCCACCCACATCCCTCCTATGTTGAAGGCTCTGCTGAAATGACAGATCTATCCAGGATGGGTCCAGGCGAGAGATGAGACGTCTTGCTCTGTTCTCTACTCTGTCAAGCAGTCGCAGATGAGAGGGGTGGGGGGCAGGCAAACCAAGAAAGTGGAGAATACTCAAGGTGTGAGCGTACTTGCGCCTCGTACAGGATCTTGCAACCCCTACTGTCAAGCAGATGCGAGATACGGCGGAGTGCTGTAAGCTTCCTGGCTGCCTTGTTTGCAAGATTCACAACATGGTTCTTCATGGTTAGTTTGGAGTCAAATTTCACCCCAAGGATATCAACTTCTTCTCCAGGTGCCAACACCCTCCCATTCATCCTTACTACTGCACCAGCATTACCATCATGGTGTCTAGAGACGATCATCATTTGCGTTTTCTCAGGTGCAAATGTTACTTGCCATCTATTTCCCCAAGCTGATATAGCTCTCAGCTGGTGATTGATGTAGCTTAGAGCAGCTGGCATTTCTTCTCTTGGATAAGTGAATGTCAGTGTACAGTCGTCTGCATATGCATGTGATTCTGGGATGAGATGAAGAAGGTCGTTGAAGTAGACATTCCATAACAATGGACCCAGAACGCTACCTTGTGGAACACTTGCCCCAATAGGTTGTCTTGCTGATTCCGTTCCATTGAGAACTACACTTAGAGATCTACCATGAAGGTAATCACTGAGGAGATATAGCGTAGAGCCTGCAATTGCCAGTGCTTGAAGTTTTGCTAAGAGGCCCTGGTGCCACACCCGGTCGAAAGCGCCAGCAATGTCCAGTGCTACCACACAGCTGACTTTGGATTCACTCTCTCTCTCTCTCTCTCTCTCTCTCTCTCTCTCTCTCTCTCTCTCTCTCTCTCTCTCTCCTCTCTCTCTCTCTCTCTCCTCTCTCTCTCTCTCTCTCTCTCTCTCTCTCTCTCTCTTCTCTCTCTCTCCTCTCTCTCTCTCTCTCTCTCTTTCTCTCCCACTCTCTCTCTTTCTTTCATTCCCATTACTTTCACTATACTAAGTGGCAGGTGAGGGTAAACAAACACAAATCATGGTAGCAAGTGACAGGTGAGGGTCAATAAACACAAATCATGGTACCATTCTTCTGATATCACACCAGTGTCCCGCTGTAAGTGACTTTCCTTGTGGCTGTAATGGTAGAGGGGAGGAGGGAAAGAGGGGAGGGAGGAAGTGGAGGGAGGGAAGAAGGGAGGGAGGGAGGGAGGGAGGGAGGGAGTGGAGAAATCAAGGAGCTGAAGAAACGTTGAATTAAAAGAATGGAGGAGTGGAACAAGGGAAAGGATGGAGGAACTGAGAGATCGTATGAAGGATTTAAAGGACGAAGAGACGGAGGAGAATGGGAGTGGGTAAGTTATTCAGGGCTTAATGGGTCCTCCCCCACACAAGAGCCTCAAGATAAGGGCCAGCATAATGGAGTACCATAGGCACATTCCCTCCACCCCACCAGTTTGATACCCCCCCATGATGCCCTGTTACACCCGTCATACCATCAAGGGCAATAATAATATAATGATGATGATGATTAATAATGATGATGATGAATGATGATGATGATAATAATAATTATAAATAATAATAATAATAATATAATAATAATAATAATAATAATAAATAATAATAATAATAATAATAATCAACATTCTCAATACAGCAACACATTCGACACACCAACATGCACAACACACTCAACATCCAACATAACCAACATACTCAACACATTAACACACCAACATAACCAAATAACCAATATAACCAACACAACAACATACACAACAAACCAACATACTCAACAAATCAACATACACACATACTCAACATACACAACATACTCAACATACACAACATACTCAACATACACAACATACTTGCCCAACATCTTGGAAAGGTCAGCATATTGTAAGTCAGGTTTCTCATCCCAACACTTCTCCACCACACCAACATACTCACCCATCACACCAATATACTCAACATACGCAACATACTCACCCAACACACCAATATACTCAACATACACAACATACTCACCCAACATTTTGGAGAGGTCAGCATTGTGTAAGTCAGGGTTCTCATCGGCCAGTTTCTTACGTTCCACTTTAGCCCAGACCATGAAGGCGTTCATGGGTCTTCTGATACGTTGTTCCCTACGAGCCTTGTCCCCTCCGGCCCCTCTGGGAGGGCCCCCACCCTCCCAGCGGCCGCCCCCACCTGGGTAGGGCTGGTGGTGGGGCAGGAGAGGAGGGGCGTGCACCCCACCATACATGAGGGCCCCTCCATGTCCTCCTCCATGGAGGGAACGTAGGGAGCACTCAAGTTGCCCTCCAAGTGCGCTCTGGTGGTAGGTGACACCCATCAGGCCACCGTGGGTGGCGTATGGGGCGGCGACCCCCTCGCCCATGTGGGCGGACATGGGTGTCAGGTTGTCGTTGTAGTCGAGGTGGGCGTGGGTGGGGGAGGAGGTGGTGACGCCCACTGTGGGTAGACCGAAGCCTCCCAGGGAACACTCTCCTGTGGGAGGAGACGAAGAAAATGAAGAGTGGGCAAGGAACATCAAACACACACACACACACACACACACACACACACACACACACAACACACAACAACACACACACAACAAACACACACACACACACACACACAACACAACGCACACACCCACACACACACACACACACACACACAATATTCTGATAAACAATAAACACCTGTTAGTGTACTATATAAGGAACACTCGACTAGACTCAGCACAGAACATGTTACTGGAGTAAAGGAAACACGCTACTGGACTACGCAAATAGCGTGTTCCTGGAATAGAGAAACACGCTACTTTACAACGTAAGAAACGTGTTACTGGAACATAAGGAAGAACAAAACATTGTTTACGAGACAGCTGACATGGATCAGCTGTCTCGAGATCAGTGACATTTAAAGCAGTGTTTCTCCTGCTTAAAAATCTTGAAAGTGAAGGTTGCCGAGGCATTGTGGCGTCGACACCTTCACCAGAACCTCAGGAGGGAAAAAATGGAACTTTTTACCCAGAAGTTCAACAGATTATAATACAGATAATTTTGATGTATCTTTTGTGCTGAAGATTGCCAGCTCAACGTAGGTTAATGTATATACAGTTTAGAGTATGATAATACACACATCTTTTCGGTTCTCGGAACCGAGATGATAAATTAAACACTTGTGTACAACATTTGGGTATCTTTATTGTGGAAACGTTTCGCCACACAGTGGCTTCATCAGTCCTATACAAAGAAGAATGGTGACGATCAGGAGTTTTAGGTAATCACTCCCTCAGGGAATTCTACACTTCATATCCCTTTTAAATTTAAATTTATCGACCTTGAACTCACTGCCATGGATGTTTTAACCAGGTTGTTTATATAACCGTCTCTATTCCTTTTATCAATCACAACACACCAGTTACGTCTCCCTGCAACTCTACGTCTTTCCAGGAAAGCTGATAGCACTTCCAGGGAAGTGCAGACTGATAGCGCTTCCCTGGAAATGCTATCAACCTATTATGTGTTCAAGTCGGACCGAAACGTCGTGGTAAGCTCCTCCTTCCTATGTGCGGGTTATTTGTGTATTGTTCCAGTCACGGTATTGTGCCTTTTTGTACCTTTTATGGAAATAAAAGGTATAAAATACGGACACAGTGGAAAAACAAACACAGATGCAGTATAAAGTGATCCTTCATTGACAATGTTTCGCCCACACAATGGGCTTTATCAGCACACAAGAACACAAGAACACAAGAAAGGAGGAACACTGCAGGAGGCATGTTGGCCCATACTAGGCAGGTCCTTTACAATTCATCCCACTAACAAAACATTTGACCAACCCAATTTTCAATGCCACCCAAGAAACAAGCTCCGATGTGCAAGTCCTTCTCAAATCCAACCCCTCCCACTCATGTACTTATCCAACCTAAATTTGAAACTACCCAAAGTCCCAGCCTCAATAACCCAACTAGGTAGACTGTTCCACTCATCAACTACCCTATTTCCAAACCAATACTTTCCTATGTCCTTTCTAAATCTAAACTTATCTAATTTAAATCCATTACTGCGGGTTCTCTCTTGGAGAGACATCCTCAAGACCTTATTAATATCCCCTTTATTAATACCTATCTTCCACTTATACACTTCGATCAGGTCTCCCCTCATTCTTCGTCTAACAAGTGAATGTAACTTAAGAGTCTTCAATCTTTCTTCATAAGGAAGATTTCTAATGCTATGTATTAATTTAGTCATCCTACCTGAATGTTTTCTAACGAATTTATGTCCATTTCTGTAATTGGAGACCAGAACTGAGCTGCAAATCTTTTGGTGAGCCTTACTAATGATTATAAAACTCAGTATGACCTCTGGACTTCTGTTGCTTACACTTCTTGATATAAATCCCAGTAATCTATTGCCTATTTACGTACGCTTAGGCATTGCTGTCTTGTTTAAGGTTGCTGCTTACCTAACCCCCAAGTTTCTTCTTTCGCATCTGTATGGCTAATTCTACATCATTTAACTCATAAGTACTAGGTTTTTATGGGCAAATCCCAAGCTTCGAACCTTGCCCTTTATCTACATATGAACTGCATCTGCCACTTTTCTGACCAAGAATTAGAGTTTGTTTAAATCCTCCTGAAGTTCCATAACTATCTACGTTTTGAATCAATTATCCTACCTTCTTTGTGTCATGCGAATTTGCATCATATCACTAGTAATTTCCCATCAAGATCATTGATATATATTATAAAACAACACGGCCCAAGACTGATCCCTGTGGAACTCCACTTGTTAAGATCCCCATCGGATTTAACCCCATTATGAACACTCTCTGGGTTCCTTCATTGGGCGAATGACTCGATCCACGAGAGCACTTTTCCCCCAATGCCATGAGCTGCCACTTTCTTTAAAAGTCATTGGTGCGAAACTTTTTCAAATGCCTTACTAAAATCTAAGTAAATAATATCAAATTCTTTATCGTGGTCAATCAGCCTCAAAAGCTTTACTGAAAAAAAGTTAATAAATTAGTTAGACAAGACCGGCCTCTTGTGAATCCATGCTGAGTATCATTAATCAAGCTATGTTTTATCGAGATGGCTTCTTATAATCTCAGCTATAATTGACTCTAGTAATTTGCCTACAATTGAGGTCAGGCTTATTGGGCGGTAAATTGACAGTAACGACTTGTCCCCTGTTTTAAAAATAGGAATTACATTAGCCATCTTCCACATATCAGACACTACACCTGTTTGAAGAGATAAATTAAAAATATTAGTTAATGGTTCACAGACTTCCATTTTGCATTCCTTAAGAACCCTTGAAAAAAACCTCATCAGGACCCGGTGACTTATTTTGCTTCAGTCTGTCTATCTGCTTCACAACCATCTTTACTAGTGAAAATGTAAATGTTAAAATTACCTTCAGCAGTTATAAAAAAATTACTGGAATCTTTATTATGGTTTTCCCTAAGACTACCTTAAATAGAAATGAGTTATAAGAGTGGAGAAATACTTAGACATGTTCATTGCCATCACCCTTAATTTTTCTCCCCGTTAAATATTTCTCCATAGAAGAATCAAAATGCTTTATAAAAACTCCTTTTTGGGCTGAACCTTAACTTTAAGCTATTGTTTCTGTTTTCTTCGCCTCTTTTTTCTTCTTTTCTCCCGACTTTTTCCTTCATAATAGAACCTTTTGCAGCTTCTTCCTTTACATCTCCCTGTACTTGATTTCTATTTTCTTTTCTTAAATCCCACTAGAAAAATTGGATACTGAGAGAGAGATGCTAGCTAGATAGGGTAAATAATAAGAGATATAGAGAGGAGAAAATAGAGATAGAGAGGAGAGAGACAAGGGTAACAACAAAGATCAGATGCCAATAAAATCTCCTTTATTGGACGTCGTTATGAACTATTGTTTCTGTCTTCTCTTTTATCTTTTCTCCCGTCTGTGCCATCTACTAACCTTTTGATTCCCCCCAATTTCACATTAGACACAGAGTGGGGGTTTCCGCACTTTATTGACATTACAGGGGGTCCAAATCCAATGGGGTTGAACACATGGGGGGGGAATGTTCCCGGTCGGAATGTGGTGCGAATTGCAAATGTTGCAATGGTCTGTTGGTAAACGGGTCAAGCAATGTTGCCCTTATTTTGCAAGAAATGAAGAAGAAACTGTGTGTGTGTGTGTGTGTGTGTGTGTGTGTGTGTGTGTGTGTGTGTGTGTGTGTGTGTGTGTGTGTGTGTGTGTGTGTGTGTGTGTGTCTGCGTGTGTGTGTGTGCCAGATATGAATGGGTCATACTGACATACTGGTAGAGTTGGTCCCTAAATCCACAATCACATCTAACCAGTTCCTTCCTCCCTATTCCTTCTTTCCCTTCTCTCCCTTTCATTCATCGTTCTCTTCGTTTTTTCTTCCCTGCCAATCCACCATGTCTACCAATCCCTCACTGACCTGTCATTTATCACGCTGACTGAGGCAGTCGCCGAGTGAGGAGGACAGGAGACACCATCCCGTGATCATGGCTACCAGAGATTACCCACTGACTTCAACTCACCAGAATTTTCTTGCCATTTAGCATTAAGTTATTTACCAATGCCCGCTGAAAGACTTTGTAATAATGTTGGTAGAATTACCCACAATATGTTAGGTAAAAGAACACAAGCGCAACTAACGCGATGTTTTATTGAGGCTATGTATCGCTCTCCAGGGTTGACAGACTTACTGGAGAGCGAAACGTTGCCACAATAAAATGTCGTATTAGTTGCACTTATGTCCTTTCACCTAACAACACACAAGTGATGTAGTGGAGGCAGGAACCATACATAGCTTTAGGTCGAGGTATGATAAAGCTCAAGGAGCAGGGAGAGAGAGGATCTATTAGCGATCAGAGAAGAGGCGGGACCAGGAACTGAATCTCAACCCCTGCAACCACAATTAGGTGAGTACAATTAGGTGAGAACAATTAGGTGAGTACAATTAGGTGAGCACAATTAGGTGACTACAACTGAGTGAGTACAATTAGGTGAGCACTCGCAGTGTTTCCGCGTCTTCTCCGGTAGCGACTCTCAACCTTAAAAAGGCACAATACCGTGACTGGAAAAATACACAAATAACCCGTACGTAGGAGAGAGAGAAAAGGCTTATGACGACGTTTTGATCCGTCTTGGACCATTCACTAGTGATGTGAATGATCCAAGACGGAACGAAACGTTGTCATAAGCCTTTTCTCTCTCTCTCCTGTGTGCGGGTTGTGTATCCATTCTCTCACTTTTTTTCTCTTAAATCTATCGACCTTGTTCTATCATCGTATTGATCTAACACCTGAGTGAACTTCGTGTATTTATCTAACACCTGAGGGAACTTCGTGTACTTCACATCTGTGAGACTCACGAAATCGTAATGACACGGTTGTAAACAAACCATACCACGGGTAGGGTTAGAACCTGGGATCAGCTAGTTGGGCCAGTGGCTAACGCGACGGTCTGGTGTTT